CGGCAAGGCAGTCGCCAGAACAGGCGCTGCTTCCATCTCGTTGACGGTCTCTGTGCGTGTTGTAATCAGCTTTGCTTGGGTCTTACTCGTCTTGTCCGCCCTCGCCGGAATGGTGGCCTTCCTGAAGAGTGGTTCCGGATCATCTCGACCCTCGTAGAACTCTCGCACCAGCGGATGATCCATGTTCGGACGAATGGGCCAGGCCTTGTTCTCCTGGAGATAGATGATGCCGGCGAGAACGAGATAAGCCTGCTCAGCAGCCTCGGGACGGAGTTGATAGCCATGCGGAGGCATGTGTCCAAGTAACTCCCAAAGTGTCATCGGCATGTACGGAGCATGACATCCACTTCCAACATGATCACCAGTCCGACATAGCGCGCACTCCTGATCGCAATCGCGGAGGCTGTTGACGTGCTTTTGTTTCCAACAAGACATGCACTTGTTTGATTTATTCATGAGATTCTTGCCGAACACCTTGTCGAACTGCATCATGTCGTAGTAGGGACCGGCCGGGGGTAGGTAATCCTGGATCGATCGAGACAAGACCGAGACAGGCTGGATGCGCGACTTCTCCACTCGTCCAGATCCGTCGCGGTTGATCTCCATGACGATGTTCGAGCTCGCCAACTCGTCGGCGGTAGGTAACCGATCTATCAAACGTTGTCAGCTAGGTACGACTTGCTAATGACTGCTGCGTCACGTACAGTTGTACTTCTCGTACGAGCCGTACCCGGTCACGGATCGTGCGGCGGGCGCCTTTTTCGCATACATCGCCTGGCTCAACAGATGGAACGACATCCTGGTAGCGGGTTATGTGGACTGTTCAAAGAATGGGTCGGAAGCAAGGCGCTGTGCAGCGTGTAGAGGTTGCGCGAAAGACTGGCGGCGAGAGGACACAGGTGCGCTATCGTGTAGAGTCAAAAACCTTCGAACCGTGCGGAAAGGCCTGCGTTAGCGAGCGCGCCCTTTCACCGCGTCATGGCTTTTGATAGAGCGCTCTTTCACTCTTTTTGAACGTCGAGAAAAGTGACCGCTGGCGTCAGGTCATAATCAGCCAAACAACGCGGCAGACAGACATCAATACGATACAGTACCCATACGAGCTACGCGAAATTAGCCCCTGTCCAGACAGTCTGGTTCGTCAGTTCAACACCGCTCGACATCGAGACCAGTCGACGATATATCAATATAGGACATTGATACATTGAGGCAATCACGCGCGAGTGTAGTCATCTCACACGACTCCCCTTCACCATTCGACTATACTTCGAAGATGTCAGGGAGAAGCAAGTCATGATCACAGTTGACCAGGAGATTGATATGGGGGATGAATACCGTTTGTACATAGCTTCAGACGCTGGATGCTATTACCACGCTCTCGACGTCCTTTCCTACCGAACCGCTTGAATCCGTTCCACATACCTTCTGGTATCAACTGTTTAGACGCTGAACGGAAGAGGTCGCTCCGAACAAAACATATGGATGGAATCAGCAATAACGTTGAGCTATGAATGCGTAACTTAAAAACATGGTTGCAAGCACTTGTCTGTATGGCCATCTCCCAACTTCCTTACTCCATCCTGTATAAGCTTGCAAAAGCTAATGCTTACACAAGATACTGGCGTGTCCGCGCAGTGCGTGATAGAGGTGGCTATGCAGTTTTTTAACTTGCGACGAGAACCAGCGACCAGAAGTAAAAGTCGGACAATGGTTGAGACATGAGGTGGCCCGAGATGCTCGTCCTCACAGTACCGACCTTTGCCGCCGCTAGCCTTTCGCGTCCTGAGGGCGAATGAAATGGGTATTGTACTAGGGCTGAGCTGGCAATGTACGCAATCGCGTTTTGGCGCTGACCGAAACCGTTAGGCTGATCCTGGGACGTCCGATTCACTGCCCTGACAAACTTTCGGATCTCGTCATCGCGTCTCCGATATACCAATCGACTAAACCTGAATTGATGCGCACGATGATCGAATAGTGGTACTTGTCTCCCCTATGGCGAAAGGAGGAAACGGGACATGGGAAGACTGTAAAATTAGCTGCGATGGCAGAAAGGCAGATGCGCAGTATCCTCGGGTTTACATTCTTCCCTGCTGGCTCCGTACCCGCATGTCATCATTGAGGGAATTACCGAACAAACGACTCACGTGCTGTCAAATGGCCGATTATTCGATTGGATATCTAGCGAGTTCGCTTGCAGGACGCATCGAGGAGTCGTCAGCCTGAGGCTATTGGTGTACATTGCAAGCCACCAGCGCCTCGGAGGAACATCATGCATGAATGCAGTCGTGCGACAGTCCTCATCACGCTTCAGTGGTACTTCTCGACGTCTGGAAAACTATCTGCCCGAGTCGTTAGATCTGACCATTCAACTGCGCGTGTTGGAGTCCTTGCCCAATCACAACGTGGGCCGACCATGGCATGCAGCCACAGCCGCACATGCGCCCTCTCCGCATCGAGAATGCTTCGCGAATGCAGGGCAGCATCCTTGTCCAGCCATCAACTTTGGTACACCTCAAGTCGGTTTGTCACAAAGATGTCACTGCCTGGAACGATGTACTGGTCGTCAATGATACACGTCTGTTGTTGTCTTCACCTGCAGGAAGGCTTAGTAACCTTGGAAGGGTCAGAATGCTCTCTCCGACCAGAATCTTGACAATTACGGCTACTGGTCAATCCAGAACGAAAGCAGGTATCCATTTCTGCGGATTGCTGTCGTGTGCCGCCTCGATAGCAATGCCACCCGTCGAGGTGGATAAATAGCAGCATCTTGTCCGCCTCTCTCGCTTACCCCTCACACCCGCTACGAGACACAAGTCTGATATACGGTTACTCGTTGGATAGATCAACCAGAATGCCGGCACCCTCGGATGAAGCCATCATTGCTATCGTTACCCTCGTCATCGCCTGTCCCCCCTCAATCGCCATCATCTGTCATCTGATCTGGCGTCGCCGCCGTACCAGTCGCAATGATGATGCCGAAGATCAAGGTACATCCGTCATATTGCTTTCATGCCACAGAAGCCTCACTGACCCTCTGCAAGATATCGAGCTCGCTTCTCACTCTAATATTGACCTTCATCACGGAGGGCAAGGTAGCCCCGCTTTACCTGTCCTTACAGCTTGATCATTCGACTAACGCCTGAATAGACATCGATCTCACTACTCGCTCTAATTTCACCCTCCAGGTCATTCAGCATGTGAAGAACACTGTACTCCGATCTCTTACCACATACTGGTCTACCTGATAAGCGCCTTCTGGTCTTATAACCTTCGATCAACAGGATTAATCTGAGATGAATACTCACATGCGTATTCGTTCCATAGATTTTGCAACATAAGACATTCCTGGCTCACGCCTACGTCCATCCACGTCACAGCTACACTCCCTCACAAATGTAAAATAGACTTATGTAGAAGACGTTGAATTTACTTCCTACCCCTGCTCTGGTACATCTACGCCAAGACACCACACCCCAACATCCTAAAAACATTCTTCCACCTCACACTCCACCACTTCCTCCTCTCACCATCTCTATCCCCTCCCAACACGCTACCCTCACTATCTCCACTCCCCCCACTCCCCTCACCATCCCCCTTCACATCCTCACCCACAACAACCAACTCATCAACAATACCAAACTCATCACCTCCAACACACATCCACCTCTCCTGCACCCTATCCTCAACCCCCACCTTCCGCCCATTCCCATGCCAAAACGGCTTCTCCTTCTTCCCTTCACCTTTCCCTTCCTCTCCAGTCCCGTTGATACCATCCACGTCTCCAGTGCCGCAGCTCGGACGGATCCAAGGCCCAGTCACACCGAACATCGCCGCGGCTTGACGAATCCCTTCGTCTCTGTAGCCGTACCATTCTCTGCCTTCTTCTATGATCGTGCACGTGGGGGGTTGCGGCTCTGTTGATGATGTCTCTGAGTCTTTGGAGATACGCCGTTGCCGTTGTTCTAGGACGAACTCAGGCAGGGTTGTGGCGAAGATGGAAATGTCGTTTTGGGGTTTGCCGACTACATTGCCGTTTTCCGCTCCGCACACCTCCTTACGCGGTAGCCTGTCGACCACCGCCATACTCTCCGCTTCAGATATTTCCGATACAAATCCCGGTTTGCAGACTACATCCCCCCTCCCCCCTCCACACACCTCCTTACGCGGTACTCTGGAGACCACCGCCATACTCTCCGGTGAAGATATATTCGATGGATATTTTTGGTCGCCAAATACAAAGTCGAACATATCTTCAGATGACTCCGCACATGGCAGGTTTGAGATGATGGAGGTGCTGCGGCCGCGCCAGCAGTGGGATGTTGCTGTGGAGCCCATGGCTACTTTGTAGCGGGTTGTGGTGGGATATGTGGTGTGGTGTAGTGGCTTTGTATACTCCAGGGGTTCTGGATGCGTATCTGGCTTGTTGAACGGAAATGTGAAAGGTATTTTTGATGTGAAAGTAGATGTGTTTTGGGATGGATGGTGTGAACTTGTGCATTCTTCCCTCTAGTTTTATATGAATCTGAAATTGATGGGAATCGTTGCTCACAGGATACCATGGTCCTGCGACGAAAGAGGGTGGAGACAAAGTAATACCAAGACCACTCACATTTCACCCAAACATCACCTACACAAGAAGAAACTCGCCGTAACATCAACTCCGCGTCCTTGCATTCCTCGTTGTCAAGCAGGTACCTCACTTCAACATACCCGCACCCCACATCACCGACCATTAATACCAAGATGCAGTCAAAAAATAGTATTCACTTTCTCGTCCCACTCTTCTTCCCCATCCACCTCTTTCCATGAAACATAAAACGCGACTGATATCTCGCTTTTGTTTTGCCAGACCTTTTCCACGCATGCGCGCGCAATCAAGCAAGTGCGCGGGGAAAGTATGCTAAGTTAAAAAACGCCGGTACCGACCCGACCCAAGAATATACACAACGAATGAAGTTACACGGGAATCAAACACAATTGACAAAAGGGACCAAGTCTTAACGACCCGATCGCTCCTTAGTTTGCTTTCTGCGGTCCTTGATAGTTTCTGCGATTACGTTAGCACTAGTCACCACGCCACGAAATCCGGTATCACTTACTCTCGTCGTAAATCATAAACTCGTGCAGCGCACTTCCGGCCGGCACCATAGGCAGTACAGGCACCTTCTGATCAGTAACAACCTCCAGCAGAGCTGGGCCATCGCTCTCCAACAGCCACTTGAGGCTGTCCTCGAGCTCCTCAGGCTTGATGCAGCGCTTAGCCTGAACACCCATGGCATCACCGAGCTTGACGAAATCAGCGTTGCGCTGATGGGTATGTGCGAAGCGGTCGGTGTAGAAGAGGGTTTGCCATTGTGTGACCATGCCCTGCTCCTCATTGTTGAGAATGATGATCTTGACGCCAATGTTGAACTCGGCGGCAGTTGAGAGTTCTGTCAGGGTCATGCTGAAGGAGGAGTCGCCGTCAATGTCGATGACGGTGCATTCTGGGCGCGCGACCTTGGCGCCGATGGCGGCGGGGAGACCGTAGCCCATGGTTCCTAGACCACCGGATGTGATCATGGTGCGTGGGTATCGCCAGCGGTAGTGCTGGGCGCACCACATTTGATGTTGGCCGACACCGGTGGTGAGAATGGTCTCCTCCTTGCGATGGGCTGTGAGATCAGAGAGCTTCTCCATGACGGTCTGTGGCTTGATGAGGCCGTTCTCGCCCTCCTTCTCGTAGGCCCATGGGAAACGCTCTTTCCAGGCGGCGATCTGTCCGAGCCACTCCGGTCTCTCGGGAACCTCGTTGACGAGGGGTAGGAGCTGCTTCAGGTTCGTGCCGAGATCACCCTCGACAGCCTCGGTCGCTTGCACGACCTTGTTGATGTTCTTGGGCATGATCTCGAAGTGGATAATACCACCACGACCCTCAGCCGCTGCTGCCTTTGCCGCTGGCGCGAACTTGGAGATGGCCCCAGTGATACGGTCATCGAAGCGAGCACCAAGAGCGAGAATCAAATCGGCTTCCTGCATGGCCATGTTGGCGTAGGCCGAGCCGTGCATACCGAGCATGTGGAGGGACTTGGGCTCAAGCTCGTCGTATCCTCCCAGACCTTGCAGAGTGGTGGTTACGGGAATGTTGACCTTGTCGGAGAGCTCCTTCAAGAGCTGGGGTCCGTTCTCTGTCTGGAGGATACCCTGTCCAGCGTAGATGACGGGCTTCTTCGCCATGTTGATCAAGTCGGCAGAGCGGCGGATAGAGTGGTCCAGCTGCTGCTTGCTAAGCTCGCGCGCGGCGATGGTCGCAGCGCTGACAGTGGTGGGGAGGGTGCTGCTCATGGGAATAGCTCTTTGGAGAACACTGGCAGTAACATCCTTGGGCAAGTCAACGAGAACAGGTCCCGGTCGTCCACTTGTCGCAATCTCGAAAGCCTCGTTGATTCTCCGCGGGAGTTCCGCAACGTTCTTGACGAGGACATTCCACTTTGTGCACGGCCTTGTAATGCCGACCATGTCAGCTTCCTGGAAAGCATCGGAGCCAATTGCGCTGGTAACGACCTGACCGCAGAAGACAACCAGGGGTGTTCCGTCCATCAGCGCATCCTGCATGGGTGTGACGACGTTGGTGGCACCGGGTCCAGAGGTAACGAGCACAACACCGGGCTTTCCACTCGCGCGGGCGTAACCCTCTGCCATGTGGCCGGCGCCCTGTTCATGGCGCGGCAGAATGAAGTCGAAGTGTTTTGACTGGTAGATCGCATCGAAGACGGGAAGAATCGCACCACCAGGGTAGCCGACTGAGAGGTGTTAGTATTCAGTACTTGAAGTTTGGTGCACGCAATCCATGTAAGCATGTAAGATGTGTCATACAGATGTGCTTGACGCCCTGGCGGAGCATCATCTCGTGGAAGATCTCTCCACCGGTCATGCCAACAAACGAGTGGTCCATTGCAGGCGAGCGGTACGGCTTCAGCGGCTGGACATCCTTGTGGTCCTCACGGTTGAAGGCAGGCGACGGTCTTGAGCGCGGTTGTGTTTGTGAGGCCGCCGCCGCCTGGGTGCTTTGAGGTCGCTTCGCATCTTCCTGGGTGATTTTACTCGAGACGGCCTGCGCGGGTCTGCGGAAGGGTGAGACGGCGAGTCGCTGTGTGGAGGTGGAAAAGTTGCGGTTGCCCTTGAGAGCATTTACAGCTCGTGTGCGTGACTGCTGCATGGCGATTATGACGTCCACTCAGGACGAAGTATTAATAACGCACAGAGGGGAGATTCAGCAAAAGCAAGCGCGACGTGGGAGAGAGTGTGGGAGGGAAGTGGAAGCTGACGGACGGTTTTGAGTCAATTGGCCGTTCGCCTTTGAGTCTTCGTCGGGCCCAGGTTCGTGGCGCATATGAAAAGTTAGTGGAGTCGTTTGGCCCCGGTGGCAGGGGTCTTGATTGGGCGATCCCCGCAATTCGAGAGAGTGCTGCCGAACATCGGAGCGCTGTGACAGCCGTCTTAGTCGGTGGGAACACCATAGACACGATGCAAGTTCCCCCTGGACGAGGCCATGGCCGCGCTGCCTCGGGCGACGAGCGACGGCGAAGTGTGTTAACGTCTCTTCACGTGTGCTCTGGCATGACTAATCGAGAGAACAGCCGCCCTGACGCGCCGTACAACCAAGGGTCCACTCGACGCCGACGACATCGTTATAGACGAGTATGCGCCCAGTTATTCAGCCGGCAGATAATACGGATACAAGACACCCGCTTACACTATGATGCAGCCCTCTTGCTGAGAGTACCGCCACCCTGCCTGCGCGCGTTCGCTCGCCAGCACGGCCTCAACCTTCTCCGCAGCCGTCGTATGAGGGCCCAACACGCGGCATCGACGACATCCCCCATAAGGACTTCAGCTTCCTCCAGGACCCGCAGGCATATCACGTTTTGCCAGTCACCAATGTCCCGCCTCCGTTCCTCAATGCGCCGCATGCCCCGCCAATATCCTCACCGATAGACACACTTCTCCTATCAGGCCACTACCGTCTCGCCGCCATCGCCGCAGCGCGCAACCTCATCTCTGCTGCTGCAGGCGACCACGACACACTTCTACACCTCATCCACGTACGCCTAGCATGTCTATGTCTGCTGCAAGAACACGCGCTCGCCGCGCAGGAATCCAAAGTGCTGGGTGACCTAAACAGCGCCTTCTACCGCCACCCCCTCACGAACGCACACCTCGTACCCTGGGATCTACGCCTGCTTGTCGTTCGACTGGCAGCGCTAGGATACGGTGAATGGCGGAAGGGCATAATGGGGTATTACGAACTCGCACGCGAATGCAGAGAAAGTATCCTTAAGGCAGGCTCAGACGAGGATAAAGCGATTTGGCGATCGCGGCTACGAGACTGCGGTATTCGTGTTGCGAACGTGTTGGTGGAAATGGGCGATTTCGAGGGCGCAGGGAGACATCTGGCAACCCTCGCTGCGGACGGTGATCAGACCAGGGAGATATCTCTGATGGAGACACTCGTCTGGCTCAGAGTCGGAGACATGGCATCAGCACGTCGTTGTCTCGCCCGTGCATCCTCCGCCTCAGCCGACGCCCTCGTAGACGGCACACTGAACGCGCTCATCCAGCTCGCCGACTCAGATTACGCCGCTGCTGCTGAATCTTTCCAAGCCCTCCACGAAGAGTTCCCGGAAGATGCGATGGTAGCACATAATCTGGCTGTGTGTCTGCTATACACCGGCCGGATTTCAGACGCTAGGGATATACTCAGTCAGCTTGTCGACGATAGCTCACCGTTCCATTCGCTGGTGTTGAATCTGAGTACGGTGTATGAGTTGTGTACGGAGAGGAATAGGGAGAAGAAACTTGGCTTGGCGGAGAGGTTGGCTGGGCGGAGGGATGGTGGTGGTGTGGGTTGGGAGCGGAGTAATGCTGAGTTCAAGCTGTAGAAGAGGAAATCCAAGAGGATGGCAGAGAAGTTGTAAACAAAGCGGGGTATCTTGAATTCCATGTGTCTGTGTCTTCTCATCAACTAGCCGGTCTTCTCAAAGCCAGTATATCAGCTAATTTGACATTCCCTTTACCACCCCAACCCGCAGCTCCTTGAGCTACTTCTGGTCGAACGCGAACATACCAGCCCCAAGCCCGCTTATCCAGGTCTTCTTTACTCAAGACTTTCGCCCATGAGCCATACAGGAGTTCCAGTGCGCCCAGCAAAAGACCAAGATTACGTTCTTTCTCCGCTGCAATGGTGGCAGCTGTTCTCTTTCCCTTCGCTTTTGATGCTGGCGCTCCCTCGACCTTGACGCCAACATCTCCGTCTTCCTTCTTGACTAACTGGGCAGCGGGTGTTTCAAACGCTCTCAAAAGGTACGCCCTCGCGTTCTGCGCAGTGTAGATAGGAAGGTTACTCGAGCCAACCTGCGAGTTCTGCGCCTTCTTTAAAGCTTCGAGATCGACGCCCCAGAGTGCAGGTTCCCTCGCCTCCTCCGCCTTCTCCTCACCTCCCTCAGACTTCACGGTTATCTGCGCCGCCTCATCTTCCCACTCGTAACCCCACCTCTTCATCACCCTGATCTCCCTCGTCATGATCCGCACGAGTGGCTGGCCCTCGCCCCAGCCTTCTTCTTCCGCCGGCTTCCCCTTCTCTAGACCGATGTTCACGGCCTTAGTCTTACTGTTCATAGAGGTTACGGCTTGGGCTAGACTGAGACGACTGGATATGGGTTGGCTTGGCATCGTGAACTTGAGTAGCGTCACTGCGAAGGCGAGGACGAGTGGTGCGCGATTCGTATAGACAACAGATGAGCTAAGTATGTCCTCATCTGATTCTGATTCTGGTAGCGCGAGAGACGCTTCGAGATCCGCGCCATTCAGAGGTTGGCCATAGGTTGCCTTGGCTTTCTTTGACGCAGGCGCAGGTTTAGCAGAGGCAGCATCTGCGGTTCGCTTTTTGAACTGTCGTTTTGCGGCATTGAGGACTGAACGCGCGACTTTCTCGTCGACGAAGATGGTTTTGAGGGTATCGTGGGAGGACTTGGATATATCGGATGGACTGCGCGGTTGTCAGTAGGGAAATGACGCGGTGGTACGCTGTCACGTGCTTACGTGATGAGGTTCGCTGCTTGAAGGTCTTTGATTTTGGATAGGGCTTGGGCGAGAGGGACCTTGGCGTCTTGCGACAGGAAACGCAGGAGCGATTGAACGTCTTGTGCCGAGGTCATGGTGATAGTCTGGTTTTTGTGGTACTGTGGCCGTGGCATGACGTTGTTGGAGATTCCCGGGGCCGTGGGGAAGCCCTGGGCGTGACGCTAGTCTGGACCCTCACGCGCAAGCTTAACTTTCTGGTTGGCACTGCGCGCAACCTCACCACCACCTCATGCCGCAATCACCTCATGAAATCTTCCCACACGGCGATTAATTGATCACACGCCACCATGGCCTTCAAATTCTCCCTAGGCGCTGCGAAAGCCAACAAGGCGCAATTGAACGCCAAAGCGAAGGAGGAAGAGGAAGCGAAGGCGCGCGAGGAGAAGAATGCGCTCGACAAGGTCATGGCCGATTTCGAGGCGGAGCATGGAGCCGAGAAGAGTATACTGGGGGAAGTTGAGCAGCAGGAAGAGGAAGATGTCTTTGTTCCAACGGGAAGCAAGAGACATTTCACAGGCAGACAGCGCACGATGAAGAGCGGCCCCGGCACCCTCGAAACCGAACCTCTCGATGGCTATAGCAGACCAGGCGCACCCCCAGGACGCCTCGCACCACAGATACAGTCACGATTCGGAGGAGCAGTACCTACAGGCCCAGCCGCACTCGATGGCCCGAAGCAGACGGAGAACTTCTACACCACCGTCGTAGCGAAAGCGTCGAACCTCCCGCCTGAAATAGACTCGCGACGCGTCGAAGAGCTGTTCGCCGATTTTCCCTCACTCAAGATCGCGCGAGTTGACAGGATACCACAAGGTTCGAGGGTGGAGGGCCGGCCTTCAGCGACGATGAACATCACCTTTGACAAGGATGCGAACGCGCGAGACCTCGACGCTGCGATGAACAAACTCAACGACAAGAAGTATCTGGGCAAAGGCTACTATCTACATCTGGACAGATATCTGGGTAGTCGCACAGCAGACACAACACAACAGACAAAGGCATTTGGCGCACGGTGGCAGGCACCCGAGCTACCCAAGGGTTTTGCGCCGCCGCCAGATCTTGGTGGAGGGGGAGGGGGTAGAGGGCCGCGCGAGAACACGGAAGATCTCATCATCACTGCGAACCAGCCTCCCGATCTCGCGACACTCAAATTGGTACATCAGACTATTGAGGGCGTCATTCTGGGTGGTGTGGAGTTCGAAGCGGCTTTGATGAACGAGCCGCAAGTACAAGAAGAGGAGCGCTTTGCATGGCTATACGATCAGAAGCATCCCGTCAACCGGTATTACCGTTGGCGTCTCCATCAGATCGTCACCAACAGCACCGATTCCGAAATCTTTGCGGGGCAAGGCGCCTGGAAAGGCCCCGTCGATCCACTCCGCCACGAGTTCGTCGACCACGTTGGCGCTTTCGAATCAGACGACGAGAGTCTGGATAGCGATGACGAGGAGGAGAAGGAGAAGCCGATATTCAAGCCCCTACCCGTGGGCGACAACTATCCCGGCCGCGTGGACAACGGACACGGCATCATGAACCCCAGATCACGAGCGATGCTCCTGTGGATGATCAACGCAATCCCACCCGGCAGCATCGTCTACGACGACCTCGCCGCCATCTCAACCTTTGCCGTCGAACACGCCGCCCAGGGCATGGACGAAGTAACCAGCATCCTCGTCTCCAACATCATCAACCCCTTCCAACTCACCGACGCCAACACACGAAACCGCGCAGGCGACGCAGCCGCTAAAGACGACATCCGGCGCCCGGACCTCCGCCAAGTCACCCTAAACGCGCTCCGCATCGTCTCCGACGTTCTGCTCGTCACCGCAAAAGAATCAGGCGTCTCCTACAAATACCGTCTAGCCATCGGAACGGAGCTGGTCGAACGCAAAGTTTTCGAACATCTTGAGCAGTTGCCGCAGAAATTGGAGATGGGGCGTATGACCGAAAGGACGTATAGGGAGGATGTCAATGCGATTTTGGCGGTGTGGACGGGGGATCATTTGTTTGATGAGAAGACGCTGAAGGAGTTGGATGATAAGTTTAATCGGAGGGAGAGGGAGAGGGAGGAGGGGGAGGTGCAGAGACGGGCGGCGGAGAAGAGGAGGAGGAAGGGGGTGGTTGTTAGGAAGCCTTCTAACCCTGAGGCGAAGGAGGAGGGTGAGCAAGATGAGCAGGGCATGGATATTGATGAGGATGCGAAGGATGGGGCGAGATCGCCTTCTCCTACTGCGAGTCAGATGGGGGAACCGGAGCCTGAGCAACTTGTTGCTGAAGCGGATGCTGAGGCTGTTGTCAAGGAGGAAGTGGTCGTGCCTGACCCTGTCGTCCCTGTGGATCCGCCAAAGGTCGTTGAGATCCCTGGAGAAACCGCTGTTGCGAGGGCGAGGCGGTTAAGACCAAAGGCTGAGGATATGTTTGCTTTGGATGAGGAGGATTAGGAATCTGATTGTTCTGCATTGTGTCTAGAGAAGATCAGATCTCCAACTTGGTCGAAAAGAACTAAAGTATGTATGATACCCTAGATAGAGAGAAGTGGAGACATCGGCGAGTAAAGAGCGGTGATGAGGAATTCGAATTCCGACCGCTGTCTTTGAAAATCTCAGATAGCATCTAGGTTGGCCCCACATAATGATGGCTCATGGCTTCAGGATGTTATGGGCAACGCGTGTTGATGAAAGTTGAGTCGTTCGTACACATTGACTCTGAACGTATATCTGCCAGGGCTCCTTTCAACTGGGAAGGCACGAACAGGCAGGCGCCATGCCGCTAGTCATGACCCCATGTTCGATCGACGACAGGCACGCCCCTTGATTCGATCCCCTGCCCAAACGCATGGTCGCAGCATATCTTTGACGTGATATTGACAGATACATCCGTGAAAGACGGCGGCTCGTTGAAGTTCGCAGAAAACATCAGGTGCACGCGTGATTGGCTCGTGACTTGGGTCGTCGACTTGTGGACCCCAACATCGTGGAGCGCCCGCTACGGCACCTGGGAAGCTCTCCGCCTAAACCAACAACACAGACCTTCAGAGTCGCTACCTCACACCGCCTCCTAGCCCATCTTCGCCTACTTACTCGCGCAGCTGCCCCTCCGGCGGCCGCTCTATTCGCAGGGATATTTTCTTCCTCCCAACTCTGCCAAGACTACTGTGTTAGGGCTCTTCCGCTGCCATCTCCGCAGCTTCGCAGCCGTCCTCACCACGCCTAATCCAAAATGCCGACCTTTCTAGGCCTCGCCGTCAGCATCCATGCCGACAGCAACCCGCTCCCAGAATATTCGATACAGAAGCAATCTAAACATCACCGTATCACCTCGTACATCCCTGTCCCTCCCGCAAAGATACCGCCGGGCGCTACCAAGCCTGAGCAGTCTTCTTTCGCGATATCGATCACTCTGCTCACCCCAGGTCTTCACGTGCCCTACTCGACGCCCAAGCCAACTGACGATGACCCCAACCCGAAAGCGAAGATTGTCGGGGGCCTCCCAGGTCAAACCGGAGAGCGGGGCAAGTACGGTCCCACGATAGCCCCGTACAAGCCCTTGACCACCTCGCCGAACGAGACAATCGCTGCATACATATACTTTGACGGCCGGGCAAAGGAGGAAGTAGCGACACTGCTGCGGCGCGGCGAAGAGACGTGGGTCAACTCACGGTGGGTCAGCGTGCCAGAGTCAGAAGGCGGGGGTCTTGCAGAGCGCGAGTTCCTCTTCCGCGAGGTCGGTCTCGAGAGATGGCTCAACGGTCTGGATCTCGAGGGCAAGGACAAGGACGTGGCCGCCAAGATTGAGCGGAGAAAGCAGCGCCTGGAAAAGAAGCGGGCAAAGCGGAGAGAGGCCATGGACAGCAGCGACGAGGACAAGAAGACCTCCGGCAACGGTGTACTGCGCTACAGCGAAAGCAAGGACGCGCCTGTCGAGACGCTTTCCGGCAACGACGAGTTCTTCACCACCGACTCCGATTCGGACGACGAGCCCCCCATGCCCGAGGCAGCCGGACAAATCAAGGTTGCCCTGTTCCGCGTCCTGGCGTCTGGAGAGATCAAGCGCGGCGAGTACTCACCCCAGTTCGACGCACACGATGACGACGAGCAAAACGGAGGAGGAGAGGGCGAAGACGTTGACCACACAACGAGTTTCGCAAAGCCTAAGACGCTGGACCCCAAATCTATCAGCACCCAGACTGTGACTGGCATAGATCCACCGGACAAGCCCTACGCCGTCTTTACCTTTTTGTACCGCGGAGAGCGTAAGTTTACAGCAAGGGATACAAGATTTTCGCTAACCAATGACAGGTCAACTGCGGAAGATGGGTATTCTGAACACGAAGGAGACGCCCAAGATCACCTCGCCACAGACCAAGCGGAAATCCGGCGCACTCGACTTTGGCAGCCTGAAGCCTTTGAACGCGGCCGCTGGAACAAAGAACTTTGGAGGTTACCGAGAGACCTCGCCCAAGTCCAAGAAGAAGACAGAGGACGCCATGGACAGCGACGCCGACGACGAGGACGATGTCAAGGTGGAGGATGCGGATGATGATAAGGAGGTTCTCGACAAGGGCTTGCTGTCGCCTGAGGATGCTCACAGGCAAGGCGAACTTGCAGAGGGCGTGCGCAAGATCAAGGTATGTGTATTGTTGTCGCTCGAAATCCGTCTACTAACACATCGCAGCTGAAGCGTCAACATTCCGCAGAACCTCTCGGCCGCCCCGCAGGACCCTCCCACTCCGACTCGACAGGATCTCCTCTTTCTGGTACACCAGCACCAGAAAACGCGTCGACAGGAGAGGCGTCATCCTCAGCCGCCGCGAACACCTCCGGAGAGCCCAGCACAAACTCAATCGCTTCACCCTACAAGAAGCAGCGCGCTTCATTACCCGGCTTCGACGACAACGTGCGCAAGAGCCTAGGCCAAGCCCTGATGGACGCCCACAACCAAGGCCGAGCCAACTCTGATGGAAACATCCCCACCATCGAAACCAAGATGGAAGAGGATGAGGAGTTGTGACACAAGAACATCCGTTTCCAACGCGCATTCGAATGAGTTAGCTTCTCATCGTGTAGCAAATCACACATTTTGTTTGCATTATAACGGTCAATCAAGAGTCGAGTTCCAATACCACGATGTCACCCAAAACCTTAATACCACGCGGAAAACCACAGTCGGGCATTACCTTTCAGGCGCAAAAATTGGCAAACGGAATCCTGCGAAAACTTAAGGCTATGGATGGGGCTTTGGATAACTACTTGGCTCGATGGCTTCTTTTGAGCTCTGGTTGGTTTGGTGGATTCTGTACATGATCATGTTTCGTATGTTTCTTTTTGCGGTGGGGCTTCGGCACGAATGGCAAGATGGGTCGGTGGTATGGATGTGGATGGGGTATGACGGTTTGGACGACAAGATGCGGACTTTAGTGTCTTCCGTCTCTGGCGAGTTGGTGGGTGGAGGTTGGATTGTCGACTGACATGGAATGAACTGCAATGAGACGTATGATACAATAGATGGTATTTGCTGATGTGATGGGTGTGTGGATTCAGAGTGAGGAAACGTGATGTTGCGTGATGTAAAGGATTGATGGACTTGTAATCGGCTGTTCACTATCAGAAATTACGAAGCAGCGCCATCCAAATTACTTCGGGCTCCGTGATCGACCCTTCTTCTGCCCTGGCGATCCATGTTCAGGGACCTCCTTTATATAGACATATCGCACGGGCGATATTCCACGCCGTTCAGATAGCTGTCCTGGCCACGCACACAAATCCAGCAAGGAGCCCACTTGTTGCACCAACCTGTCCTGACTGATTACCTCTCCTGCCTCCCCTATCTCTTCTCCCTTTTCTCCCGTCTTCAATCCATACCCCTGACCACCTTGGGTACCTGCATCTCTCTCTAGCAATACGCTCGACCAGCCTGCGTCTTGAGCGCCGAACACATCTTTGTGGAGGTCGTCGCCTACGTAGATCTTCTCAAAATCCTCTGCTCTGATATCTTTGCCACTGTCCATCGAAGCGGCCTTTAACTTGTGCTCAAGCATCTCCTCCGCCGCAGCAAAGATCTGTCGATCCGGTTTCTCGGCTCCGACGTCGTAAGACAGGACCGTGAAATCGATGTCATACTCTCTATCCTTGGGGCGGGAGGCTCTTATAACAGGGTAATGCCAGGGACCAATATTGACACCGAGGGACGACAATATCCTCGGGACGCGGTCATCTGAATTCGTTATAACGCCTACTATAGTTTTGTCCCAGGGCCAGAGTCCATGGGCAGCGCCCCGAAGTCTCCGGTGTGCTTTCATATGCCGTATCATGCGGAAGAAGGGGAGGACGTCGGGGTACAGTGTGTACCCCTTCCGTGACGAGTAGGTGTGAAGCAGTTCTGGGACGAGGTGCTTTGGGAAAGTTTGGTTTGCAGCCAGGAATGGCGTGAAGGTTTCTTTTATTACTTTGGCCCACCATTTTTCCGCACCCATGCCTGTTGCCCGGCCATAGTTTGGGTGTTTTGATGATAGGTGTTTGAATGCGGATTTGAAGGATGAGGATACTTGGGTGGCGGGCTCGGGCGTGTTTATGGCGATGCCGTGCTTGAGGGCGGCTTCGGCGTAAGTTATTGGGATGGGTTTCGTGGGTGTGAAGAGGGTGCCGAAGGCGTCGAGACAGAGGAAGAGGTTTTTCCTCTGGGGTGTGGGTGACATGGTGAGAGGGTATCCGGCGTATTGACCGGCACTACCCTACAGATCCGATAGCATCGACCCAATATTCTTCTAATTCGCGCGGGAATATCGATGAATATTACATCGACGTGTAAGGCCACCCAAACTCAGCCATGTGGTTGCGGAAGGAGATGGACCAAAGAGGCTAGTCCAGGGTCCGCCGACAGCCCCGAGCTACTTGCGGACACGATCACCTCCGCGAATCCTCAACTCCCCCAACGTCAACCCTCACCTGCAGTCGCTCATTCACCCAATTCCGCAGACACACACAACTCACACACGCAATTGCAAATATGGCGAACACCAACAAGTACTCGGTGCTCCTTCCCACCTACAACGAGCGCCGCAACCTGCCCATAATAACATGGCTGCTGGCCAAGACGTTCGAGGAGAAGTACGTCGCAACACCCACCCCCTCATAACGCAATGCCACGACTAACAATTGTTCAACAGCAAACTCGACTGGGAACTCATCATCATCGACGACGGCTCCCCCGACGGCACCCAAGAAATCGCCGCCCAGCTCCAAAAAGCCTACACCCCATCACGCATCCAAATCCGCGCGCGCGCCGGTAAACTCGGTCTCGGCACCGCCTACGTCCACGGCCTGCAATTCGCGACCGGAAACTTCGTCATCATCATGGACGCGGATTTCAGCCACCACCCCAAGTTCATCGCGCCCATGATCGCTTTGCAAAAGACCAAGAACTACGACATCGTTACCGGAACGCGGTATGCGGGCGACGGCGGCGTGTTTGGCTGGGATCTCAAGCGCAAGTTTGTGTCGAGGGGGGCGAATCTTTTTGCGGATACGGTGTTAAGGCCCGGTGTGAGTGATCTTACGGGCAGCTTTAGGTTGTATAAGAAGGAGGTGCTGCAGAAGGTTATTAGGCAGACGGAGAGTAAGGGGTATACGTTTCAGATGGAGATGATGGTGCGCGCGAAGGCCATGGGGTGTACGGTTGCGGAGGTGCCGATTTCGTTTGTGGATCGGTTGTATGGGGAGAGTAAGCTTGGTGGTGATGAGATTGTGGAGTACGCGAAGGGTGTGCTGGCGCTGTGGATGAAGGTTTAGATGGCTTGGGTGGGAGAGTGGTGGGATGTTGGTGGCCGGACTGGATGACTGGCCTTGATGATATCTCGGGCAGGTAAGGAGATGGTATATTTGATCTTTCTCCGCCTTTGTCTGATTAGTATGTTTAACTCTTAATCTTCTCACCAGAGTCTTCGTGTACCTGTTGCTGCTAGCCGCGACTGCCACTACCTATCTCGTACGCCAAGCGGCGCTAGCGTCCATTGCTCCTGCCAGAGCTGCCTTCACTTTCGTCCTCTTCCTCACTTCGACCTTAACAGTCTCTCGATCGCTGCATCGCTACAGCGCTCGAGATTGCGCACCTCACACGAAAGCGCAACAATCTCTCACTACAGCTCTGAAGCACACTATCACCTTGTGCAAGGAAAACACCAAACGGGTTTGCAGCCTACATTGAGCTGAAGTGTGCAAAGTACGAGAACTAACATTAACGCAGGCTCTACGGTGTTCGGCGTCTGACCCGTGTAAAGTGTTATCACGATGTCGACGCAGGATGACTCCAAGCCCTTTCGCTTCATGGACCTCCCGTCGGAGTTGCGCCTTATGGTTTACAAGCGCCTACCCCGTCAGATCAAGCACACTGAGGTTCGCTATATGGGCTATTCGTGGCCCGACACGAAAGTGAAACTCGATTCCACATTCGTCTTGATCACACGTCACCTCCCAGTCGCTATCCTAAGGACAAGCCGCCAGGTCTATGCCGAGGCGCACAGTATCGTCACAGCTCTGATCAAAAGCTTTGTGACAGAGTCGGAGCCGCGGGCCATAGGCCGTGAGGACAATGGGAATGCGTTTCTTGTACTCGCCACATTGATAGCGACTGAGCGTAAAGCGCTTTTGGTGAGTCGAATCTCACATTAACATTCTTCAAAGCTCGAATCTGACGCAACCGTAGACTGGTCAGCCTTACCATGTGAGCGACGTCATTCAGCGACACCCGTACCTTGCCTCTCATCCATGGGAAACCAGACGACCGCGCGACATTGCAATCTTTTTCGGTCAAACTGCACTGGCGAAAACGTCAGACACCGGGATCTGGGTCGCCAAAATCGCTACTGTATACTTCCAGAAGCAGGAGAACGTGATGGACAGGCTGCGTGCGCGGCATTCCTTGATCATCGCCCCTGGCCCCCAAAGAACTCCTCCGAGCGTATTAGAGTTTTTTCGACGGGAATATGAGTCTGGTCTCGGCGTTCTCGTTCATACAAGCTTCAAGGGTATCCTCGCATACGCTCCCAACGAAGAGTACAAAGTCACAGCAAAGAACGTCCCTGTCAAACTCAACGTAGACAAGTTCAATTCGGATGGGACCTGGACCCTGGAGACTAGTATGAGCCAGGATGATTGGATTGGCAATTGGGTGCCTTCTTCGTGAGGAGTACCCATATGTCATCCAAGGAGGGCATCGTACGCCCGCCCTTAGAGGATGATGGAAGTAAAAAACCCAGGAGTCTACATTGCGTTGAAAGTTCGTCATCTTTTGTGTGCGAAACCACGTAGACTGCAGGGTGTCTAGCTCTTTTCTTTGATAGGGTGCTCACATCCTAGTCGAAGTACCGTCCAAAAGGGCCGATCAATACTGTTATCCGAATCCTGCTCTCACGTATCTCGCAATCGTTACATGAATGTGGTAATTGTCACGTGATCATCTCGCCTTTCACGTCCATTCGACGGGCATTAGTATCCGCCTGTGCAGCTTGGGCTGATTAGCTGCATCTCGCTATACAACTGCTTCCGGCGATCCGACGTGAATTGACCGTCTGTTGGTCCAGAATTCGCCAGCCATCTTACAAACTCTCCGGCGTCGCTCTTTCCGGCTTACCCGTGGTCTTGTTGACGGCACGGTAATGATTTGTGAACACTCCGATAGGGTGTCTCTCATCGCCATACCTATCCAGGCCTTATCACTCTTCCATTGACACCGGCATATATGATCTTGATGCTAATCCACTATTGTTCTCACCCATTCTAGGGCAATGAAGCTTGCAGCCGCTGGCGTAGTGAGTACATTCAGTACCTTGATCTCTTTTAACATCAATCATTGCATACGAGCACTTATTTCTAAGAGCAAGTCATACATCACTCCAGCCACCGACATGTCGATCCACCAACACAATCCTTTCCCGTTCATGAATCTGCCAGTCGAACTGCGCCTAATGATCTACGAGTGGCTGCCACGCCAGATCAAACACACCGTGGTCTCCATAGACGGAGAAGTGGCTGTCCTGGTCACAAAACATCTGCCGACTGCCTTACTACGTACGAGCAAGCAAATCTACCTCGAAGCCCACGCCATCGTAAACAACCTAGTCCGTCAGTTCGTCGAAGAGTCACCAACAAAGCTCATCGAGCTCGGCAAAGCCGGAACAAAGATGAGACAGAGGAAGATACTCGACTATCTCATGTCACAAATCCCGTGCGAACGCATAGCCGTCGAAGACGATGAGAAGTCCGACATCCAAGCCATTTCCCAGAGAATACCCAAGTCCAGTGGACTTCGACCTGCCGATCCCGCCAAGGCATCCAACATCGCTCGCTTCTTACATCAAGCTGCTAGAGCTAGATACCGTCCCGGTGACGACCGTTTCCACGACGCAGCCGGCAGGCTGTGGAACAACACTGTCGTAACCGTGTTCGTTACCCGCACACTTTACAAGAACGAAGAGGAGTTCCAATGCTTCGCCGAGATTAACCACAGACACATTCGACATATGTATCATCATGGGGAGATGCCGCACTTTCCGCACGATATATGGATCCGAGATGGTGGTAGCATACAGGTCGAAGGAGATGTTTTTCTGGAGAGGGCGATTGACAAGGTTCCGATGTTATGTCAGGATGGCTATGATGACTGGAGTGAGAGGATAGAGGGTGTGGAGGATTCGTGGGGGCCGGCTATGAGGAGGGAGGACTGGGATGGGGAATGGCTTCCTTAGTAGGCACGTCGTGGGAGAGGGATGTATGTTTGTACTGCACTCTGGATGCCGTTTGTACGGACTACCCTCCTCCATATCATAAGTCAAATATCCCTGATAACCCAACATAAACATCCTGTTCCGACCAAATTGCATTCTCAAAGACCATGTTCCAGCCTTGCTTCCCATTGCACTTTTCCTTCCCAAACTCCCAAACCCCCACCATTCTTCTAACCCTCCCTCACACTAACCCCCTTCTTCATAACCAACAACTTCGTCTTCGTCGGCTCCGCAAACTTCTCCTCCTCCTCCAGCACCGGAATCGCCGCATCGCTATGCATAAACGCAATAAACTGCTGCAAATGCAACTCATCCTCAAACGCCATGGTACCCATGCAATCCCAGTCCATCCCGTCATCAACCCCAATCAACACCCGCGGAATGCCGATTGGGCATTCCTCGTCGTCAACATGGTAGTGCCGCGTCCACGACAACGGATGCACTTTCCCCGCGATCTTTTTGAGAAGTGGTGCGTACTTTTCCTCGTTGTGCTGGTGGAATTGCGCGCGGGAGACGCCTTCTTTTCGTGTTGCGACTGTGGTGAGGATGTAGGGGTAAGCACTCGTTTTCGTCATTGTAGTTCCCGGCATTTTGGTTCTGTGGATTCTCCGGTGTTCAGGGTATGCGATGGGGGGCGGGCGGAGCTATGTCGGCGGTGTAGAGATATGCGGCCGATGATTGGCATGGAATAGTAATCGCAGGATGCGGAAGGATCGTGAAGGGTTCGCAGGAAGAAGCAAAACAAAAAGCGCCTCTCGAGACGAAAGGATTTGGGGATATTAATGACGACGGGAAGAAGGAAACGCCAAACCGAAATTTCAGGCCAGGAAAACAGGAGAACGGATGGCTTCCGTATGCAGGCTGGTCCCGTCAGTCCAATGCAACCGTGTGTGCCGGTGTCAGCTAAGGGCAGCTGGACCCCTGTATTTTATTGGTCCCACTTCCCGCTCGGTTACCACGAGGGCCGATCGCTGGAGACAGTGCGCTAGCTGGGTCTGGACTACTGACGAAGCTTGCGAAGCGAAGTGTCGAATCCTTTCCTTTAACTTTCCTACCTGCTGCCTTCTTTGGTGATGCCGCCGATTCAGTTGCGACATGTCAATGCCGTTGTGGTGTTTGGACTTGGGCCTGTTATCTCGTTTGTACCGGGGAGGACCCACGAGCGTCATCGGATACCCAGGTATGACGTTAGGCCTCCAGACACCGCTAGTTTCATGTGCCGATGGCTGCTTTGGGAGTCGAATGTCATTGTCGGAGCTGAATGTGTTGATCAAGCGGAAGTTCGCGGAAGTGGTGAGAGGGACTTCCTTAGGTCCGCGGAGTCTTTCGGTATGTTGTGTTGATCGTCGCTGCCATCATTGACAATGTTGTGCAACAGCTGTCATCTAGTACTAAAGCGTCACAGCGCCGTCAGCGAACTCATCTCTGAAAGTCAAACTATTGCATCGCGCGTTGTCCGTCAGCTCTTGGCCCGCTGTAGCGTCCATATAGGTACTCGTTCTGTTTCCTTGCGCTTGTGCATCGGCGCGGACCGTCACTACTTCACCCCGCATGTGCGTGGTCAAGTTCGTGGCCGTCATGACTCCACCGAGGCTTCACATCTATGTCGATGTTTGGGAAGTCTTTGGGAAAGTGTTTCATTCAAGCGCATTAATAATAACATGACTAGAGCAAAGGTTAAGGCCAATCCGCTACACCATATCTTACTTGCGTGTTCTGATCTCGAGAGCCCTCCTCTCGCCCGTGGGAGTATTCTCTCCCAATCCCCTACTGAGATCCCACCTTTTATCGTCCCAGAGATACCGGAAGACCCCCAGTGTATGTGTCTTGATGACAGTCATAAACTCTTCAATGAGCACAGCTTCACCATCTGCACCCATCCCGCTTGGCGAAGGCCCAAACACAAACGCCGGTACACCGCGATAGCGATAAAACTTACAGTCCGTACCACCCAGACCGACGATCTGTACCGGCTCCCTCCCAGTAACGTCTCGCGCAACATCGGCCATGTACCCAGAAAGCGGATGATTGTACTCCGATAAGCTTGCTGGGTTGCTGGCTGCTTCTTGCACGGAGTATGACACGCCAGGGGACGATAGCAGTAGGCTGTCAATCTCATTGAGTACAGCCTCAGCCTCGAGCCCGATCGGCAGGCGGATGTCGGCTTCAAAGACGCACTTTGAAGGGATGACGTTAACTTTGACGCCGCCGTCGATGGTGCCGATGTTTAACGTGGGTGAGAACATATTTGCTGCTGCCCCAGCGCCCATGATCTCATCGGTAACGGCGTGCGCTTGTTTGGAGCGAAGATAAGCCTTGAGTTGGTGCGGGATATTTGAGGGTATCGACTCGACCACGCGCTTCAGGGTTGTTATTAAGGAGCAAGCGTGTACGATGGCTCCACAGCCGTTGTGTGTGTACGCTCCGTTACCTCCTTGAGTGTTGACTGTGAAGGTCAATCGCAGGGTGCCTACGATTCAAGGTTAGTATAGGTCTTCAAAGCTGTTCGTGGATAGATGTCACTTACCCTTCTCGCCGAACCTAATGGATTGTAGACCACCAGGCTCGCCGTTGACAACACAATCGCCTAGCCAAGGTGAATTTTCACCACGGTGATCAAGCAGATACTTGGTCCCCCATTCGCCTCCCGTCTCTTCGTCCGAGACCACGGTCAAAGCGACGCTTCCGATGAGATGCGAAGCTCGCTTCTTCAGCAACGTGAACGCGATGATGGAAGCTGCGGTCCCTGCTTTCATGTCGACAGACCCAAGACCATGTATCGAAGTGCCATCGTTATGTCCCGAGTATGGCGGGTAGCGCCAACCCTCAAGGTTATTGACCGGAAAAGTATCCATATGGCCGTTGAAGACAACGCGAGGACCGTCCTGCAAGCGGCCTTCGAAATCCGAAACTACGTTGGGCATATGGGCCATCGGGGCAACGACATCTGCATAGATGTTGTTGGCTGCAAGGAATTTCGTGACGACATCTGCAGCCGCTCGGGTGTCGCCTGGTGGGTTAGGGCTTGCTGCTCGGACAAGCCTTTGCAGAAAGTGTATGTACTTGTCCTTGTTTGCTTCGATTTCGCAGAGTATGAGGCTCTCGTGGTATTGTCTAGCTGGGGCCATGTTGACTAGAGAAGGAGGTTTGCTATGTGTAGATGAATGAAGATGATGTTGAGCTGGTGAAGAAATGGAGAGTTTATGTTAAGAGGGAGTGCAGGCTTTTCTTCACGGAACTGGTCGATTACGCAGATGAAGAGATTTCAAGTTCAATTGTTGAAGGCGCCCGTGGTAGTATATTGGTGCATGCCATAGATGAGCATACGAAACATATGCGCGTCGCATCACTGGCTGCTCAGTGTTCGGTACCGTACATCAGCGAGCGCTTCATCCATGTTCAGTACGATTCGCTTACAATTCGGAGTACGCCGACAGATATTTCTGCGGAACAATCGTACATGATGACTGTGTGGGCTGACTACCTGAAGAGATTGGTTGCGCGTTCGACGCTTTTGTGTGGTTCGTAGTCCGCTACCTAGTCCGAACTTCAGAATCACCAGCATCACCCACAAGACTTTCCTTTGCAAGCTCAGTAGTCTGATTTTATTGCGGGTATCCATGGATGCTTCTCATGAGTTCATGATGCCGTCGATGAAGGTCATCAGCCTATTACTCAGCCTCAGGAGATCCGCTCACACTGTCTCTTGATCGCTACTCTTCATTTCAGTCCGCGACGGTATTACAGACCAGGTGAACTCGCTGAGCACTAGACTTAACCTACACATGGCTTATGTGGCCATCTTGCGATCATGTCCCGACTAGCGACCGGGTGAACCGTTTCCATCACCCCCATCCGCGCCGGTCATGTCCTGCTCATCCGAAAACGTCATACTCTCAACCGCCCCCTCAAAGCTTTCCAACTCCACAAGCTTGGCCTCGGACGCCGTTATCTTCAACTCCATCTCCTGCTTTAGCACCTCGACCGTCGCACTGAAGCCAACGAGGGCCTCAAGCAAGGCCCACGCAGTTGCTAGTGTATCGAGATGATCCTTTGTCGCTGAGATCGCTTCATCGATGGCGGCGTAGAGGAGGTCGCGCGATGTGAGCGTCGTGGGATTGATGAGAGGCGCGTGCGCGGCGAGAACAGTGACTATGGATGCAAGGTCGGATACCGTACTTCCTGTGCTTGAAGATGCGGAAAGGGAATCGGCGGCTGGAGAGCTAGATCCCTCCTCGGCGATCTCGGGAAGGACTTGTACGGTATGTGGCTCGGGGGTTCGTGGCGGTGACGGATCTTGCGATAGCGGCTTGGGCTCGTTTGCGGGTGACTTTGCGATGAGAGGCGACCTATCGTTTTCATTGATCTTGGATGGAACTGCGTCGCGCTTGAGTTTGGAGTTCGGACCGTGCCTGAAGATGTGTCGCAATAGACTTCCTCGCGTCATCGTGGCGGTCGTGGTTGAACTGGCGAAGTCGGCGGGGGTCCGGTCGCCGCGGCTATACCGACGGGAGCGAGATATGACTCTCAGCGTAAGGTGTCGGCGTAGAAGCGGGAGATCGGTTGGGTGACGGCGTTGCCGCAGTCGCAGTAAATACTTGCTCACCTACGAGAGAGTCGCGCTAGCCAAGGCCACATCGACAAACGCACGATTTTATATGTACTCCCAGAACACCACGGTTCTTCTCTTCTTCTCGTAGATCTCCATCGGTTATTCCAAAATCTTCTGATGGCCTTCAACAACACCTACGACAGTGCCCGTGACCCTCGACTCAGTCGTCAGCCTAGCAATGTCGACATGCCTGATGTAGTGTCTGCTGTCCCAACATCAAATCGCCAGGCCGTTCCAAAGTCGCCTACAGAGCTGTGAGTACCCTGAAATGATCTTCCAAAGAGCTCTTGCTAAATTCATCACAGTGCGGCGCCGCCTTCGATCGATGGCAGCCTGGCACCCATGAGGCGGGTTTCCGAGCTTCTTGTACGCATCGCGGACCAGGAAGCTGACAACGCAAGGCTCCAACAAGAGAAGACGGCTGCCAAAAAGATGTCCAGCGACTATCATATCCGTCTCACGCAGGCAACCAAGTCCCTGGGCGATCTGACAGTCTCATATTCGAAGCGCCTGGAAGAGAAGGACGCCTTACTCAACGAGAACGTCGCAATTGAACAGCGCGACACGTTGATGAGGAAAGATACCGCTAAGTCCGCCCGCGAGATTAGCGATATGACGAGCAAGATACAAGAGATGGAGGCCCAGATCCAAGCATACGAGGTCGAGAACAAGGATTTACAAAATCGCGTCACTACGTTGGAGACAGAAGCGCATAGCCTACAGTGTCACGTTCAAGACCTAGAGTTTGAGAGAGAGCAGGGTCGGGCTTCGGAGAGTATCGATGGATATGGAGCAAACGGTAGGAGGGACTCCACGCAACGCCCCATGTCGAACGTTGACGCCACTCCTCCGCGCCAAGGTTCAGATCGAGACCGAGAATCGAGGTACAGCGAGGCGGTATACACAGAGCATCGGAGGACGTCGGGTGGATTCTACGAGCGCGGTGGCCATCAACGAGGAGCTCGCCGGGAGCGCGATCGTGGCCGAAACGTACGGAACAGGTCATCTACCAACGATCGCTTCGTCCCTGACCTGTACCCTCCCACCGGACCTCGCGCCGACAGGCGCTGATGCAGAGAGCAGGGAGAAATGTGAAGGATCGTGATGAAGATGGCGACAAGCGTCACAACATGGCGCCGTTGGTAAGACTGAAAAGATTGAAGGAGGAAAGTCCGTACGGCAAGCCTGCTCTACATGGCGGGAAAACGAACCTGTGGGCATTGTCAGATGTACGCAGCGGATTCTGACTGGGTGGGTCCCAATATTTGGCATACATTGCCGTACATACAATACCTGGTGATAGCAGACGCCTTATCATGATGAGAGCTAATGCCGGTTGCTTGAGTCATGTTCATCATCCCCAGTCTGATTCATCGCTAGTGAAACACGCTTAGACACTCATCAGTTTGCATACTGAAGATAGTATTGTTACCGTCGCGGTACACAAACCCATAGTATGTGTTGAAAGAACGACGAGGTTGGTCTGAAGTCACAGTGAAGTTCGAACAACAGGGTTCTCGTCACCGACAAGGAGAGTCTCCGCGGACGACCATATATGTGAAGAGACTAGTGGAAAGCAGGGTACGCGGAGTCTTAATATCATGCCGTGATAAATGTGGAGAGGTGACTTGAAGGGAATCTCGCGTAACAGAAACCGACAAGGGGGCAAGAACATCGGACATACAGGCCGCCTCACGTGACGTGCCCGGGACTCGTGAACGGGCCGCTAGTTCATCTCAGTCAATGACCCCGAATATGAGGTTCGCTAAATCGGAGAGGATCTAGAGGATTGCGCAAGACATGTGTCTGACTGGTTGATCGGGTCTGGACACGAAGATAGGCGAAGCCACGATGCGACTGCGCCGCATGCCGGTACGCGAGCCAACCACTCATGTAGAGCCAGGCGTTGCTCGCTACCCGTTTACCCAATGGCGGTGCTTTGATCAATAATCGCGCAACGGGCGACGTTTCTTACTGCGTTGGTGGCAGCGGAGTAGTCGACAGAACCCATGTTCGTACTGCAACGCGATAAAAGGGCCGTTTCCGCGTCAGAAGGCGTCCTCGGAGCATCATCCGTCTTTCTCCATTCGTGCGTACCATCTTAAGAACCATGGCAGAACCAATGAACAAACGCGTCGTTGTGGTAAGTCGCCTTATATGCCATGGCTAATATGAGGCTGATCATTCCAATAGGTTGGTGGCTCGATAGCTGGGCTCATGCATGCTGTGGCGCTCAAGTCTCATGGCCACAGCGTTGTGGTTCTTGAGATGCGAACTGAACAGCAGCTACAAGCCCGAGCTGCAGGCTTGAGTCTATGGTCAAACGCACAGAAAGTGTTCACAACATACCTACCTGATGTTGAGCTCGACGATATCGTTTTCCGCAACCCCGCATTTCCAATCCTTGACAAGGATGGTAAGGTCTTGGTAGAAGTACCGTTCACGGAAGACGTGCGCACCTCGTGCTGGGCTGGTCTTCACGGTCTGCTGTGGATGGCCTGCGAGAAAGACGTCGAGGGACATGGGCCTGTCAACATGCGCTGTGGATACCAGGTATGCGGGCTGACTGAGCAAGCTGACCACCTCGTGGTGTCATACAAAGGCGAAGATGGCATCGAGGAACAGATGACGGCTGACATGGTCGTGGCGGCCGACGGCGCACGTTCCCGTCTTCGAAGCCTTGTCCTTCCTGACGTGAAGACCGACTACGTTGGCTATGTGGCGTGGAGATCACAATTCCCAGAAAAGGATGCGCCTGAGGAGCTACGTTGTGCCATAGAGGGGAAGATGCCTCTTTGCATGCTGGACGGGAGCTACATAGTGGTGTAAGTTGGGTATGACGTCGCCGACCATTGACTGACATATGGTAGCTATCTGTCGCCTAGCACGATCGGAGACATGCGTCCTGGGAACCGTGTCATCGAATGGTGTTGGTACGATGCTTGTGACGCTTCGACACCAGTATTCGCGGATTACATGACCGACGTTAATGGTGTCCGACACAACGTCACCGTACCCGGGAACCTGTTGCGTCCAGATGTTTGGGAGGCTCAGCTTAAGCGAAGGGACAACGTGTTGTCTCCAATGTGGAGGAAGATCTTCCACGAGTCGAACCCGCCGCTTCTCACAGCCGTTCGCTGTATGTGCCGTCCATGTAGATACTCGGTTGATGATTTGTGCTGACTTACGCAACCATTTAGCGTTTGACAATACAAAAGCTTCGTTCTTCGGAGGCAAGTTATTGCTGGCAGGCGAGGCATTCATTCAGCTTCGCCCACACCTTGGCGCAAGCTGCGATATCGCAGGGTTATCGGCGATTACATTGCCGCAAGTGCTAGGTGGTGAGATGAGCCTCGAAGAATGGGAAAAGAAAGTGGGTAAGCACGCCATGGAGAAGGCGGTCGGAAGCAGGGCCACTGGAATTTTTGGTATGACGGGACAATGGCCAGAAGGCTATACAGCAGAGTCTGCGGCAAATTTCTCTGAAGAGGTGATGGTGTGAAGGAGTGAAGCTTGCCGTGTGAAGGGAAGGAGACAAGGGGGTGATGACGTAGGAGATGCTCAGCAGTTGGCCCCAGCGCTAGCGAACGGCCTGATCGAATTTCGTCGGATGCCTCCTGCTGACTTGCGCATCATGTCTTTTCCATCACAATCGCTCATCGCAGCAGAAAACGGGTGCTCATCATCCCAGCGGCAGAGGGCCGTTTAGAGATCAACATGGTCCTGCTCTCGTCGGCTTTCATCTTGCCGCGAGCGGACGGTCGGCCGAACGTTGACGCGAACCCCGCGCAACGCCTGAGCCTGGCACCTCTTCAGCGCAGCATGCATCCAAATATCCAACTTTTCGGATTCCGCGGACACGCTCAACGTGTTCTTGCCCAGTCGGGGACCTAATAGTGTGTTTATAAAAGGTCCGAATGCTTGGCTTGCCGACGCTGGACCGGCTATACTCGAGTTGCCAAGTCTACATCGAGCGAACAGACATGAGGGACATCTTCGCGTACTACCCGATGTACGAAACGATGTCGAGGATGATGTACAAAATGATGGATCATATAAGTGTAGCTGAGTGTCTTCATCCATCACGCTACTACAGCTCAAGATCATGTCCGCAAATATTTTCGCTCAGCTCAAGGAGGCTTGGGACCTGTCTTTCTTGGAGACGCGCTCCTACTCCGAGCTTGCAGCCAGCATATCTCTCTTTGCTCTCGTTCTGGGCTCCCTGCGGGTGATCTACCTACTATACTTCCATCCACTAGCATCCTTTCCGGGCCCATACCAGGCGGCACTATCCAATTGGTGGCAATACAAGCTAAGCAAGACTGGCCGACAAGAAGAGACACTTGAGCAATTGCACAAAGCATATGGTAAGTCTCACGGCGAATCATACGCCCAGACACTGACGATCTCAACAGGCACACGAACACTCAGGATTGGTCCAAACGAGCTTCACATTACTGATCCCGCGCTCTACCGTACAATTTACTCACAGAACTACGCCTTTCCCAAACAAAAGTACTTCTATGATGCTTTCGCCGCACACCACTCTGTGTTCGTCGAGGGCGACAAAGAGTTGCACCGTGTACGACGTAAGCTTCTTAGCAACTTCTTCTCGAAGACGCACATAAGGTCCATGGAGAAGACTTTGCTTTCCAAAGCCACCCTTTTATGTGATAGGATATCGAAGACTAAAGGCAAGGGTGCAATTAACTTTTATTATGCTTTCAGGTAGCGCTCCCCGATTCTACCGGATGCAACATGAACGCTAAGATCATCACAGGTGCCTGACGGTCGATCTCATCACGCAAATGGCTTTCGGAGAGTCTTTCAACTTGCTTACTAAATCCGACGACAACACTTTCGACGCTCCCTTCCACAGGTGCTTTGATCAAGCCGCCGAGTCACTGTGGACCATGCTATACTTCCCTCCTCTCCGGACTATCGCCTTCAATTGCCCACCCAGTATAGCCGCCAAACTCAGCACATCGGCCGCAAAGTTCCAGGCTCTCATCACTGCCACCGCGGATACCGTAGCCAATTTCCGACGCCTGAAGACTTCCGGAAAGTCCTTCGACCATGAACTCGTGTTCGATTCTTTGGAACACCTGGACGATGAACTTGTCTTAGCTGAAGCGATCAGTACTTTGGTCGCAGGCTCTGACACCACGGCCTTCACACTCGCGACTGCTGTCCAACAGATGAGCGAGGATCCTTCAATCTTCGCAAAGCTAAGGAAAGAATTTCGCGACAGCGGTATCATGTCAAACCAAGATCTCAGCCTCTTGAGACTAGAGCAGCTTCCATATCTGGTATGCAACCCGATGAGATCGCGATGCGAAGCTAACGCTATCAGACTGCCTGCGTCAAAGAATCGCTACGTTATGCTATGCCCGTGCCAGGACGACTCCCACGTGTCGTACCGTACTCAGCAACGCCTCTCATCGTCGACGGGAAGATCATTCCAGCTGGAACCACCGTCGGCATGTCTGCGTACAGCATGCACTTCGACGAAAGCATTTGGGGCGAAGACGCCAGAAGCTTCAACCCCGCTCGTTGGTTGACTGGAGACGCAAAAGAGTTGGAGAGATATCTCGTAGCCTTCTCCAAGGGTGCAAGGCAATGTCTTGGGATCAATCTTGCATATGCAGAGATTACCCTCACTCTTGCCATGCTGGTCAACAGGTTTCGCTTCGAACCCGACATCACGATGACGGCATCTGATACCCGACATCTGGACCACTTTACATATGAGTTTGAAGGAACTGGGGTTCGTGCCATCGTCCATGAGGATTAGAAACGACCTTTTGCGACTTGCGCGATGAAGAATCGCTATGGGGCTGGATTCATCTTTCCGGTCCGACGCACGGCTGGTTTGCCTCTGCCCGTCATTACGAAACAGTGAGGGGAGGAAGCGTTGGGGTGTGAGCTGATGATTTGAGGAGTGCTGTGTTAGCATGATATCACCAGTGGGCAAGAGTGGGCGATGGGGTATCTTTGGTACAATCTATAGCATTATACAAGAAAAGCAAGACGATAACAGCGCTCATGGGTATCGGTACGGATTGGTGGTACGTTATGTGTACTGAGAAGTTGGTTAGACCATGGACTCGAAATAAGACTCAAGATGTGCTCTCACCTTTGTGTTGAAGCTTGATACTGGAAGGAGTGGGAGGGGTTCAGCTTCTGGAGCAATGTGCTTTGACAGGCCGAAGCATGTTGTCCGTGACGTGCTTGATGACTTCGATGTTAATCTTGGAACGTGATATCCTCTCAACATCTGACGTCGTCTTAATAGTGGGCTCTCATCGATGGCATATGCTTCGAACATACCCTGTCCTTCGCCACGAACGTTGAGGTGTTTGCGTTTAAGAAGATGCCAGATAAGGAGGATTGAGGGCGGGCACGTTACGACAAGAGTGACGATTGCGATGATCGATTCGTTGGATATCATTGCGTCGGGATTAATAGCGGCGACTGTCGGAGAAATGCTGATTGACCTATGGGTTGCTCAAACCTGCAGATTAAAAACAAGATCGGTGCTAATGTTGTGTATGTTTAGTTGCTAGATGTTCTGAAATTTGCACCGGGACTCGAGCTATTATACAACGAGATCAACGCCCCCACTGATGAATATTGAGGTATGTGATTCTCAGACATCCTAATGAGGTTGACTGATTAGGTTAACTGCAACATTCCGGTCAATCCTGCAGGTCTGCAGCCAATAAGCTTGCAGAAGGCTACTTCGATGCAGCCAATAGTACCGCAGAACATCAAATCTTCGCCTCTGAAGAGGAAGAGGCCGTGATGCTTGATTGGCTCAGCGTCGCTGACCATAGCCACGCATCGGAGTCGGCGAATCTGACGTTGAAGCACCCTCAGTTTTGCTTAACTGCCTACTCAACGCACCAGCTGTGACGTTCACCCCTCGCTGGTTTGTGGCATTGCGAGCAAAAAGGGAAACGCACCAATGAACTCGGTCGTTCGGGGTTTGCTGTACAAGGGCTGAGCAATCATATCGAAGAGATGATTCTATTCCTTATGGTACTCAAAGTCGGCAGTACTGGTTATGGCCTCGTACGCGCCATTATGTCTCGCTGCATGGGTGGTGATTTGCAAACAATTGTCTCACATCCATGTGTTATCGCACAGAGGATCCGGACTGTGAGTTGCCTTCGTTGCGGTAGATTACAATATGATGGTGATTGAACGGAAGCATACATGTGTGCAGTAATGCACGAGGCGCGGTGATCAAGGCCCCGGGTCAGGTACGTACGCGTATAGTTGGGGAGCAGCCATCGCCCTGCGCTGAAGCGAGCCGCCACCGCCACGTCAGCGAGCCGCCCACGGCGTCACAGCCACCTTCCAAGGCGCCCTCACGACCCTGAGAATTCATCGAAGTGACTTTGAATGACTCATGAATGTGGAATGTCTTTCGCTTTTTGGCTGGCCTTGAATACCCATAATATGGTTACGTAGGTAGAGTTATACGCAATGCGACGTGCACTGTCTTCTTTAATCTCGAGTGAAACAACTGTTCCTTCGCGAAAGCTTGAGAGATAGGATAGTATGGCTCGTTTCGATGCAGTCGTTAATCCGCGATGAAGAATGTCCCCTCATCCAGCGATCTCAAGTTGCATCGACTCCTGCGTCCGGTACGCCATCATATATCAGCCAACCCCGATGTACATGTTTTCTTCTGAGCGAATTTGGAATGCGTACAACCCTTCCGATTATCTCCTGGCGCGTTCATCCCTAGATATGGTGGTATGGCCTTCCGCCTTTTCTATTCGGGTGCACCTCTTGCGCCGCAACATCACTTGGCTCGCAATGACCCAATGACTGAAAGCCAGCAGCCGCAATGAATAAACCACAGAGATTTAGCTTTTTCTCGTAAACGATCGGTCCGTCGTGTTATGTTGCGTCGCGAGTAAGGGTAGCCGACGAGGTCAGCGTATGACGCTCATGAACATGAGCAAGATCAGGTCGAGGTACAAGAAGGTCGACCTGGCCCTCGACGACATCACCGATGCTTGGCCGAGCTGGGCTATTGGCGAGCTCGGCATCTAGAGTGGTTCAGCTGGAATTATATACTGCAGGGCTACAGTCAGATGTACATACCAATCCGACAGACTCCATTGTTAGGACGAGATCGTTTGATCCAATGGCATAGCAGTGCAACCGAAGGGGGACACGTTGTAACGAGGGTAACGAGAGCGATTATGTCTCCGTTGGATAGGTACAACATGTTCTTTTATGCGTGAGATAATGTGAGGAATTGAATACAGGTTGTGGTAGGAAGACTTGAATACACGATTAATGCACGAGATCGACGCCGTTGTATATTCCGCTTGAGATACGTCCTGCCAGTTGGAGAGAACCACTGAAGACGGCGGGCTGGGATGTTATAAACGTGTGCTGAGCAGTCTAACACGTGTATAAGCTCCCAGCCCATCTTGCCTGAAGTATTGGGATGCGTGCTCAGCTCCGTAGTCGTCTACGTTCTTGCGAAGCGTGAAATGATCTCAACCTTGGAAGCTAGCAAGATGCGAGCCTATGAGGAACCGGCGGCCTCCTGGCCGTTCCCTACTCTCCATTTGAACCTACGTTTCAGAAGCAGCGGGCTTAGCCCGATATCTGTTCCAGCGACCATGGGCATCTGCACGGCGTTGATACACCTAATAAGACTCAGCGTTGACAGGAACGCATCGCAGAGATCTGCACCGCGGCCTAGATTGGTGGAGGTAGCGTGGAGGCTCGTGCTGGGACGGGGCGAGCGCGCGAACCCGCATCCGCCAGAAGTCCGCTGGGCGTTCTTCCGTGCTCGTCCTTCGGCGGTTTATTAGGATGCATGGCGGTGCAGTGGTCGGCTCGATGATTGCGCATTGCTTCCTCACTATATTGTGGTTTTTGATGGCGGGGCGGTGCAGTGGCGCGTCTGCGTCCAGCGTTCTTTCATGACGCAGGGCGGTGCAACCCATGTCTCACATATGCGATCGTTGTGTCCCGATGCCTGGAGCCCAAAGCGATTGTGGCTAGAAAACCTCTACAATCTTCGCCTGTATGTAGCGTCATGGTGGTTCGTCAACTTGGGTCAACGTTGCCAGGTACGAATGCATTATTCGGTAGTAACCTTAGGTAGCGATAGGTATGCTATCCAAGCTGGTGTCCTTCTCACTTCAGCATTTGAGCCTTCGCAACGCAGATCGTGGACTGACATGCATTACCTTGCGGAATTCTCATCGTGCATGCGATCGTAGGGTAGTAAATCATTGGTAGGGGCAGATAGGCAAAGGAGGGCTCGTGAATTATCAGCTTGAACTCGCGACGGACGCTGCCAGGTGTCAGGAAGGTAGGAAGTGGAGCCGACCTCGGGAGGCTGCGCAAGTGAGATGACCCCGGGGCCGAAGCGGCCCGCGCAGCGCCAGTTGTCAACAGGCCCACATCGCAACTGCTTTTCGTCCCGACCCTAACATCACGACGACGCTGAACGGCTTTCAAATCACAGCCATGTTCTGGAAAATCATCCGCCATTAGCATGTGCACTTCTGTCACGGACTGATGGACAGCACGCGGCATGCACTGCCGCCACCGGCGCATGTGACGCGATCGCACTGTCCTAAGCAGTTTCAATGTGGGAATCGATCAGGCTTTATCGCAAGCCTGGTCCAAATCAATGAACACTATACTCTGTATGGAAAGGCTCAGGGAGACGGGACTGTATTATGAGTGGCCTGGTGGCATCATCATGATGTCTCTCTATTGTACGTCGCTTTTCCTGAATCTCATCGTCAACAACGTCTGTTTCTACGCCAAAACCCTTCGGACTACTCCCAATTCTTCGATATACTCGGCCCATTGCCACTCGGGCCTTCGATAGTTTCTAGTGCGCTGGGGAGAGAAGCAAGCTTTGCCTCTAGGTCGTGGAAGAGCCTTGTGGGATCGTTCTTGAGTCCATATCGGCGAGGTGAGTGATGGTTATCGTCCGGAGAGGTAGGTAGGAGTGGGTTTAAGTAGGGTATCGTCAACGTGCTTGATGATCTTTCGGTCGATGACTGAACAAAATAACTCGTCATCTAGGAAGATGTCAGCAATGAATAGTGATCGTTGACACATATCAACAAACCATTGAAGTCTCTCTGAACACGACTTTTGCGCCTGAGCAGATGCCATACGAGAACCAAGGAGGGTGGACATGTTGCGACTAGACTAACGATGGCGATGATAGATTCGTTGGATATGGTCGACATGTCGGTCTCTGATTGCGCTGCACAATGGACACCGGCGAGTACCTCTCGTCCAGTGTTGCAGATAGTGGAGTAATCGTGTATGGATTTTCGAATTCTCGAGAGATACTGATCAATTGTGATAGAAGAGGTTCAGAGATGAAAGTTCCATGTTTTACGTTCCTACCTAGGTACCATATATCGATTTCTGGCGCGTCGGCGTGTACAGCCCTACGCTTATTTCTTGGGTAACTCTACACGACTTCACACGAGTAAGGGCTTACCATTGGCCACCATGCGAAGGGTTGGCCGGCTCGAAAGAGCGTTGATGGCTACCGTTCATGTGGGGGTGGGGGAATTGTGGCAGGCGGTCGGAGGAGGATCGTTTAGCGAACCAGTAGCGAGAGAGCAGTGTTGTGACAAGTGAAACGAAGGAGAAAAGGAGCGGGAAAGGACCAGTCAAAAGGCTTGAGAGTTGGGGCCATGAAGGCTAGGGTCGTATATTGTGCATATGCATCCGCTCTGGCACAGCCGCTGATGCGTGAAGACGACGGTCGGTGAGGATATCTCTATCTACTGGCTCCAGCGAGCATGTAACTCCCAATCATGCCGTCGGAAGAGTTCATGGAGGCTTGGCCCCTGCAGACTACCCAGGCCCCTGCAGACTACCCAGGCCCCGCATCGCGCTAGCGAATGTTGACATCCCTACCCTAGTAGGATAGCCACATATCGTGGGTTCTGGGAAATCAGTCCTTCCTTAGGATGGGACTACACGTGACCGTCTATACTTGCATCTTTACCGACCCCGTACCTATCAATGCGCACTGCATCTTTCCCGTGCGCGCTGATTCTCCTACCATGTGTACATGCGCCACATAATCACGTGACCGTGTAATACACGTGTCCGGATGAGAAGGCTTTCCATGAGTCCACGTGATCATGCACGAGGCGGGCAGCCTTGCCAGGTGACTTCTCGTCTCGGCTTCTACGTCTTTACCCCACGTGAACGCTTTCAAACAGCTTGGAACGATCGCGCATGCAAAGCCAACTCACAATTTGGCTTCGCATACTGACGCCACAGCATGATACGTCCGTTGGTCGTCTGATGAAAGGGCCTCCTCACTGTGCCTACATTCAGGTTCTGCCTTATTGGTGGTTGAGCCGCGGGTTGTTTGCACCGCCCCTCCAAACCCTCACCGGCAGAGTATCGAATGACCCCATGAATCGTGCATCTCGGCTATGGATTCAAGGTTCTGCTGATTGGATGATGACATGGATACTCTCAAACCGGTATCGCTCGCGTCGTGATGCATTCCAGGTTTTGTTCAATTGGTTCATGGGCAGGTACGTTGAAGTGCATCATATGCTTGCTGACCATACCTCCTCTTGCTGATGTTTGATGTTTGAATCGGCCTCTTCCTCACACCCTTCCTCAAACAATCATCTTACAATTCTTGTCGTCCTCATGCCCAAGCAAGCCAAGTCATATGCACCCCGAATCCCGCTCAGTACGTGGGAGCAGCACCGATGCAGGATCAAAGCGTTATTCGTGGACAAGAATGAAACTCTGAGCAGGGTGGCTGAGATCATGAAAGAGTATGGGCTGTACGCGAGGTTAGCAGTCAGATTCATACAGAGGTTGCCATGCAGACTTAAGCTAATTCCGCTTCAGTGAATCGCAATACGAACGCCAGTTGAAGATATGGGGCATACGGAAGAACCGCACAAGAGACGAATGGCGCCTTATTAACCGCGCAGTAGAAGAGAGGCGTCGTCAAGGAAAGAGCAGTATTGTCTCCATCAATGGCATTGAACAGTCGAATGAGAAGATTGATCGCGAGTTCGGGAGGAGCGAGTATCGCAGATACGGGGGTATGACTGTCCATCAACGCATTGATCCTAAGCTGACTTTTCCGAGGCCTCCAGCCCGGTTTACCTGACCACATACAAGTGGGCTCGCCGCCAGCGGCCGCTCCCTCGGATGAGATGTCTACTAGGTGTGCCGTTGATCTAGAAGATGAACTCATTCCGCCCGCACTGCAAGACTTGTACCGCAACATGGGTACTGTTGAACGTCACCTGCATCTCAATCTCCTTCCTCCTGCAACTTGGGCTGCTTCCATAAGATGGATTACCAAGGAGTATAAGAAAGCTCGCAAAACCTGGACAACATGGACGTTCAAACTGGTCGATCTAGGGCTGAGCGGCTTCCTCGCCACCGAGGAGCCGCAGTTGGAAAATCCGTGCGACAATGCTCCGAATCCTGAACCTGATTACGGTTCAGATCTCTTCGATCATTCACCATCGCCGTCGGGAAGTTTGGGTATCCCCAGCTGGGAGTCTGTAGATGTTACTTCCGAAGAGTGGGCGACTCGCGGGTGGGATGTCTTCTTCGGGGAGTGGGGAATGGTATGAGATGACTTTCCAAGGTTGTCTACCATGTCGGCATAGCGAACAGCATCAAAGCTATCGCAATAATACCGTATACCAAAGTACCATCTCAACGAGCTGCCCGAAGGACGAGACCGCAGTCTGAGTTAAAAGCGCACTCTATCCATTACCATGTCGGCATGAGAGAATGAAGCAATGGAATGGATTTGATCGAGCGAAGAGCGAACCGGGGTCGCGAGAGTGCATCCACTACATACAAGAAACAGACTGAACAGGCCTAGATCCTACATCAGACCAACAATGAGCAAATTTGGAGGCGTAACGTCGATGTAGATTCTAGGGTGTTCAGCTTTTCCCTTGCATGGGGTGCATCCACGGCGCGGAAGCGGCCCGCTATGACATATGAACTTCTGCGCTTCATCTCCACATTAACTTTCAACAACACCAAACATCCACCATGCCGCGCCGCAGCCAGACACCCGAAGCCTCCACCGCGCAATTCCCACCACAGTCACACTCTCATCCCGACCCCGACGCTCGCTCACCGCGCGCCCACAAGAAACACCACCGTTCGCATCGCTCGCACCGCTCGCGCTCCCCCCGTCGCGACGACGACACCCACCGCCACAAGCGGCACCGCTCTCGCTCACCCGCCGCACCCCGACCCATAGACCTACCCTACAAAGCGCAGCCACTATCAAAACGCCACTACGAAGACTACAAACCGCTCTTCCAATCCTACCTCGACATCCAGAAGAACATCCAACTCGACAGCCTCGATGAGCGGGAAATAAAAGGGCGATGGAAGAGCTTTGTTAGTCGTTGGAATCGGGGGGAGCTAGCGAGGAGTTGGTATGATCCTTCGATGTTGAAGACGGCGACGGAGACGGTGCAGATGTATCGTGGGATTTCTCCTGGGGTGGCTGGGAGGAGGGCGTCGCCTAGCTATGCGCGGAAGCAGGGAGAGGAGGAGGTCTCAGATGCAAGCGACGATGACTTCGGTCCCGCACCGCCTACAAACCTCCCCCGGCACAGCGGCCACGGACCCACGATACCCAACATGGACGACCTAACCCTCCGCAACGAACTCGTCTCCTCAGACCTCACAACCTCCCAATCGCACTACCTAGACTCCCTCCGCCACGCCCGCAAAACCGACCGCCAATCCCAAAAAGCCGCCCTCGACGACCTGATCCCCCGCGCCGACCCCAACACCCGCGACCGCCAACTCGAAAAGAAGCGCGAAGTAACCTCGACCCTAAACTCCTTCCGCGACGCCAAAGAAGCCGGGGAAGTCGACGTACCAGAGTCAGACCTCATGGGCGACGACGGGATAGACGTGTATAAGAAGAAGAAGAAGGAGCAGGAGAGGCAGAAGAATGAGAGGGAGATACGTAGGGAGGAGATTGCGAGGGCGAGGGAGGCGGAGAGGAATGAGAGGTTGAGTGAGAGGAGGGAGAAGGAGGCGGGGACTATGGAGTTTTTGAGGAGGATTGCTAAGGAGAGGTTTGGGTAGTGTCGGGATAGGAGGAAGAATGGGTTGGGATAGGTGCTTCATATTTGATTGAGAAGATTTGAGAGCTTATGGTTCAGCGTGACTGGAATATCAGTCTAGTGTGATTGAGTGTAATATACAAATGGTAGACCCTACGAATAGGTCAACTCCACAACATGCTCAAACACATTCGTCCCATCATCATGTACCCGTACTCCTGAGCTCACTCTAAATCTCAAACACCTAAGCCCAAGCACCTCAAGCCGACGCCCTAGCACCACCCCGTGGCTTCTTCCTATCATGATCCACAATGCCCCTCTTCCGATGATTCTGCGCCGTCTTCCACCGGACATATAGCATAATCATATCCTTCAGCCCAACAAACATACATCCACCGACCACACTCCTGCCCCAGCGCGTCTGCAAAAAGCCAGTTGGCTTGCCCACGCCACCTGCCTTTCCTCCTGTGTTGATCCAGCCACCGAGCCAGGATGTCGCGGGTGCGCCTGTAGGAGGTGTAACCCAGGAGCTGGGTAAGCTGAGTCGGAGTATTTCGCCCATAGCGGCGGCGATGGTGGGGAAGATGAGGGCGCCGAGGATGGTATCTGCGAGGGAGGTGGTGGAGAAAGTTACGCCACGTTCGCGTCGAACACGTCGGGGTCGGGGTGCGGCGGGTTGCATGGGGATGTTGGGTGGAGGTGCTGCGTGTTGCTGGGGTTCGACGTCGACCAAATCAGGCATCTCGGCGTCCTCTTGATCGTCTTGTGGGGGAGCGTCGATTGGTCCCGCTGGGCCTCGCGCGACGGGTACGGGGGGATGTTCGTGCGCGTCGTCGTCATCGTCATCGTTGTCGGCTTCGCCATTGTTGTTCCAGTCTGCGAATATGTCGAAGTCGAGTTCTATCTCTACTTCTTCTATCACATCCTCGTCGCCCCCATGGTCATGGTTATGGTCGTGATCATGTTGTACCTGGGCATCTGCGGTTACATCCTCGCCAGCTCGGGGCTGAATCTCCTTCAGCCACTGCTGCTCTCTTGGTAACCATACACGCTCGTAGTATGCGTTGTAGAACCCTCGAAGATATGGTAGTGCGGCAAAGGTGAAAGCGGCGCTCGGAGGCCATTGTAGTTGTAGCATATCATCGCCTGGTTGTCCGGAACTAACGAAGAAGATGAGCGGAAGGAAGGGTAAGAAGGAGTCGGCGAATGACGTTCGGCTTGCAACCAAAACTGTCGGAATCAACGGTAACCCAAGGTCTAGCCTCCAGTGCTGTCTCAGATGTTCCAGCCACTGCAATGTCACCGAGTTCACCGACCGACTCGGGGTCTCGTAGAGCGGGCCAAGGATTTGTAGCGCATCTTGCGTGCCAAATATCTGGTATATCGTCGCCGTCCCGGATAGCGTCAGTGTCGAGTAGAGCGCTGTGCCTGTGACGAGTGCGAAGCCCGGAAGCAGGAGATTACCCGTAAGCTTCTCAACGCCCCGAACCATGTCCACCACGTAGCTCCTCGGCCGCTCTATCCTGATCTCGCTCTTGCACTGGGGACATAATATCTGCCCTGCCGCTTTGCCAGCCCGTCGCCGCGAACTGGGCGCCTCCATATCCGCTATCCAGTCCAGCAAACACCTCTCGTGCGCCACTAGTGAGCAGGCGCAAGGCGACTTCCACTCCGATGTTGTTTCGTCGTCTTCCGTCTCGTCGTTGAAGCAGATCCAACATCTTCGCGGTTCGTCGTCTTCTTCTAATTGTGGCGCGGCGGTCTGTGTGGGTACCTCGGTCTGTTCCTGCGGCGTAGAAGAGGCTGACTGTGTAGATGGCGTATTGAGTAGCAGCGTCTGTGGATCTACCGACTGTCCAGAGAAGCTATTCGTCCGTTCTGTTCGTTCCTGCTGTGAGGACGATGATTCGGCAGGAGGTGATGGCCTATGTTGCGACGCGGGGCGCTGAGGCGGAAGAGACGCCATGGCGGCTGGATGTGCGCGAAGAGGATCGGGAAGGCGCGTGATCGGTCGAACAGGAAGGGTATAGATTATGGCTCTGCTCTCTGGAACATATGACACGGGACAGCAAGTGCGGTCAGATTGTCGCGAGAACGGGTGTGAGGGTTGAACTGCGGCTCGGTGTTTGTTGATTAGAGTTGCCGAAAGATCTACAAGACGTCACTAACTCCCTGTCACCTGTAGCGTGCCAAGACAAAGCACGTGCATACCAACTTCATCTTCCCTCCATCGTGCGGTAAGAAGCCTACATCAGTATGAAAAGCGACATTCAACCACATACCAAGGCAATGTAGACTTCTTGGGGTAAACGTTTCATTCTTACAAAACAGAAGTGCAATACAAAATCTACCACCATCTCATCCCATCTCCCTCCGGAGCGTTCTCGGTTCCCTACACAGCCACATATCCTCCATCATCTCATAACCCCTAGAACTATACATGTCAGCAAGTATCGCTAGATCGACATATAACATAACTTACAGGCGGATATATCCCCCTCAGATGAGGCGGCGGAACCGGTCCCCAGACCCACGTCGGCGCCTGGCCCGGTTGAGGCACTCCCAAGTACTGCGGCACATGACCTCCTGGCAGGCCCTGCGGCACCACGTCCCCGCCCATCGCAAACCCATAAGGATGCGGAGCGGCTACATTACCAGCTAGCTGGCTGTTCTGACGTCCGTGACGCTGTTGTGGGCGCCCGGGTCCACTGTTCTGGCGCCGATGGCGAGACATGCGCTTGGTAAGCCTTTTCAGCTCTTTCAGCTGGCCGTTGACGAGATGGCGGTGCTTGAGTGTGTTGGATGAGTCGGTGAAGGATGGATCCGCAACATCTGGGATGTTCGGGTCTTGGTTGGAGCCATTTTCGTGGAATGGCGAGCCTACTTCTTGCATTTCGTGTGGGTCGTGGGCGGAGCGGGTTTCGTATGGCTCTGCGGCTGCTGGGGAAGCGTGGGGAGCTGGTACTGGCGATATCTCCTGGGGAGCTTCAGCGTTCCTTCGGGCGCGCCTTGGTGGATCCAGACGCCAGTGTGATGTGATGCTGTCGACGTCCGAGAGGCTTCGGAAGCTGTGGTATGAGCCGGCCTCGTCATCCTCCTCCTCTTGGTTCTGTCCTCCAGCCGTAACATTCTCTTCCTGAGCGCCCTTGACCCAACCCGTTCCTTCTACGTACGCCAACTCGCAATGCGGAATAGCAGAATACGCACATACCTCTTGATCCACCTGATCACCGTCTGCCTTCAAACACTCTCCACAGTCGGCGCGGGGTTCTACGAGCACGCACTTGTTGTGAAACTCCAGCGTTCCAGGGCAGTCGAGATGGCCGCAGTGGAGGTAGTCGATAAGGTGCTCGCGGGGGCCGTCGTTGTGCACTACGAACCACATGATACACATGGTAGCGGTTATGGTAGGATGAGTTCGTGGGAGTAGGAGAAGCGATTGCCGATACGGGCTGGAAGCGGCCAAAAGTGGTTGTTGCGAGATGATTGCGTTCAAGGTCAACTGAGGAGACAAGCTGTTGTTGTTGACGGGGTGGTCAGGCGTAGCAACGGAGGGAATGGCTGCACGGACCAATCGCGTAGTGCAAACGGAGCGACCAAGGTGGGCGCGTCTCGCACACGCGTTTGTAATAGGAAATACGACTTCGGAGATCGAAAAGGCAGCTACTAGGAACCAATGGCCTCGTAGGAAGAAAGGTGACGATTGACGGAATATCGATAGAGCATATGGATGTTTCAAGTCGAGCTGGAAGTGAATACGATGAAGACTCTACTACCGCTATCGTCTTACCACCCGTCAATCATGAATTCAAATACTCTGTCGCCCTTGCCTTTCTCGATCGGCTTCGCGTCGCCGTCATACAGCGTCCTCTCGAAATACGTCACATTACCCTCCTTATCGCAGAGCACTACAACGTTCTTCTGTGTACCATAGCACCCACTCGTAGCATCCACCGCCTTCGCCTTGACCAAGTCGCCAATCTCATGCGCAGGCATCTTGTGCTCCTCAAGATGGTCTCTTCCGATGGCCGGTATGAAGATGCTGTGACGGAGCTGGTTGAGATACATGTCCCACTCCTCATTCTCTTTCTGCCGGGGCATGGTGTCCGTGGTCAGGATGTCAAGAAGACGATTGATGAGCTGATCGCGGGACTCATTGGCGGCGACGGACTCAGCGATAGCGGTGCGCGTCCAAGCTTCTCCGTTTGTTACTTTGGGCCAGCTGCGGTCACTGTAGGCGGCGTTGCTGAGAGCTCGAGTCTCGTTTGGCGTTTGCAGGAGATGGACCACACCGTGAACGTCTGGAGTGCGGTTGCTGACGATTGCTAGGCCTTTTCCTTCTTCTTTGATGACATCCTGGATAAATCCATAGCAGAGCGAGAAACCTCCTACACCTTCAACACCATCCTCTTCAATCATTCGTTTCGCGAAACCCTCTGTGCTCTCCCCTTTCTTTGGGTCAATCTTCAGCCAAGCGTTTGGAATCAGTCCTCTGCTTCGCGCTCCCTCAACGATGGTTTGGTCCTCTTCACGGTAGTTGGTTAATACTGCAATTCGGCCTTGGCGAGTTACACCTAGCCAGGTGCCGTGAGCAGGGCGGTGTAGATCGTAGCCTCCTAGGACTTGCGTATCTGGAGATGGCCACCATGTTGCTTTTGCCGTTGGACGGTGAAGATACTCCTGATCTGCGTTAGTCGTGAGAGAGAAACACTGAAGCCTAACAAACGTACGTCTCGATTATTGAGTAGAATGAATGGGTAGTCTGGGTGCGCGGTCGTAAGTATAGCGATACACATATTGACGGATGTATTCAGGTTGTAAGAGGGTTTGTGAGTTGAAGTGTGACAACGCGGTGTTCTGTGGCGTTGAAGTTTCGGGGAACGACGGGACAAGCGCAAAGTTTACCGAAGTGCAGTGTGAGCGGTGTGAATGAATGCCAACAAGTGCTTCAACGTTCAATTTTATACGTGGTTCCAACCGTACAGGATGTGGAGTGAGGTAGGACGACACATGGCGAGATAA